ACTCAGGTAGCTGATGGGGCAGGACTCCCTGGGAGGCTAGTGCCAAGGGGAAAGGAGTCTGGAATCACTGGGTGTAAAGAAGCCTTTCAGGTACAGGAACAAGCCATCCCAATGCACAGGACGACTAGCAAATACAGCATAAGACCAGCTTGGCTTAGCAGAGAACTCTTCAGTGAGCTAACACACAGAAGAGGAAGCTTATAAAGTGGAATTTGGACAAAACTAGGGAGGAGTATTGCTCAGGCATGCAGGGATGAAGTCAGGAAGGCCGAAGTGCAACTGGAGTTGCAGCTAGCAAGGGATGTGAATGGTAGAAAAACCCTTTTGGTTACAAGTATGTCACCAACCAGAGGAAGATTAGGGAACGTGCAAGTCCCTCACTGAATGGGGGAGGCAACCTTGCAACAGGCATTGAGTACTGCATCCTCTTTTTCACCTCAGTCTTCACAGGCAAGGTCAGCTCACAGACTACTGTACCTGGTAGCAGTTTGGGGAGGAGGTGAGCAGACAGTGGCTAGAGAATAGGTTAGGGACTGTTTAGAAGAGCTGGATGAGGCAACTCCATGGGACCAGACATGATCACCCGCAGGTGCTACAGAAGTTGGCCAATGCAATTGCAGAGCTACTGATCATTATCCTTGTAAACTCATGGCAATTGAGAGATCTAAGACAACTGGGCAGGGGCATTGGGGGCGAGATTTAAAAAAAAAAAAAGAGAGGTCATGGAGCAGGTCCTCAAGGAATTCATTTCTAAGTATATGGAGACAGGAACAGTTGATATCAATTCACCTAGGGCAAAAATCATGCCTGACCCACCCAATTGCCTTCCACAAAGAGAAGACTTGCTTGGTGGATGCAGGGAGAACAGTGGATGTGATGCACCTTAACTTTACCAAGGATTTTGATGTGGTCTCCCACAACTCTCACCAGCAAGCCAAGGAAGTATGTGTTGGATGAATGGACTCTATGCTGCATAGAAAAACTGACTGGACTGTCAGGCTCAAAGGGTAATAATCAATGGCTTGATAATCAATTGGCAGCCAGTATCAGGCTGTGCGCCCCAAGGGCAAATCCTGGGGCTGGTTTTGTTCAAATGTCATCATCACCCATCTCAAAGATGGAATGAGTGCACTATCAGCAAATTTGCAGAGCACACCAAAGTGTGTGTGTGGGGGGTGGGGGTGGAAAATGAGTAGGTATGCTGGAGGGTGGGGCTAGAGGTTCAGTCCTCCAGTCTCTCTGAACCCATGAGACAAGTACAAAGTCTGGCACCCAGGACACAACAATCCCATGCACCAGTACAGGCTGGGGACTGACTAGCTAAGCTGCAGCTCTGCAAAGGACCTGGGGGTTACAGTAGACAATCAGCTGGATGAGCCAACCTAGTGTACCCTTGTTGCCATGAAGGCTAACACCATACTGGGCTGCATTAGTAGGAGTGTTACCAGCAGATCAAGGGAAGAAGCAATTATTCCTTTCTATCCAGCACTGGTGAGGCCACATCTAGAATACTTTGTCCAGTTTTGGGCCTCCCACTAAAATGTGGACAAATTGGAGAGATTCCAGCAGAAGGCAACAAGAGTGGTTAGGGGGCTGGAGCACGTAACATGAGGAGAGGCCGAGGGAACTGGGCCTGTTTAGTCTCCAGAACAGAATACTGAAAGGGGATTTAATATCAGCCTTCAACTACCTGAAGGATGGTTAGTTACTAAGAGGACAGAGCGAGAGACTGTTCTCAGTGGTGGCAGATGACAAAACAAAGAACAACAGTTTCAAGTTGCAGCAAGGGAAGTTTGGGTTAGATACAGGGGGGGGAACGGGACACAAAACACACCTCTCACTAGAAGAGTAGTAAAGCACTGGAACAGGCTAGCCAGAGAGGTTGTAGAATCTCCATCCTCAAAAGACTTTATATAACATCCCAGCCAAGACTTGTCTAGCCGGGTCTTAGTCAGATGGTCCTGCTTGAGCAGGGGATTGGACTAGATGACCTCCTGAGGTCCCTTTCAACCATAATTTTCTACGAGATCCAAGATTTTAACCATGTGGTTCTTATTTCAATAGCATGCAAAGAAGCTTGCATGTAGCCGCTGCAGCCACCCACTTCCCTGCGGTGCTGCTGCTCCACACACCACCACCCTCTAGATTTTTTTTTTTTTTTTAGTTACCTGTGGCAGGGGTTTTCAGATAACTGGCACCCCCTTACCCCACTCATACCAGATAAAGCTTTTACTGTAGTTTGACTGAGAATACCTTGAATTTGCCAAAGCAAGGTAATTCAGGTTGCTACTGAAAACTTGTTCACAATCCAGTAAGTTAGATTGCAAAAAGAAGAAAGAGAAACCTAACTGCTACCATAAACTTCATGAAAGAAGATCAGAGATGCAGCTAAACTACTGGGGTGATATTTTATTAGATAAAGAACCTGAACTTTTATACATTAACTCAGCTATCCTTTAAAAAGAAGAGAGTTTGGTTTTTCCTCAATATCCTGAAAAATAAAGTGAAATACATTTAAGCTGGAAAGTTATGCCCAGTCTGTCCTATATTAGATATGGTATCCCCTTTCAAATGGGGACATGCATCCTTTTCTCTTTTCATTATATTAAGCAGGTTAGCTCATGACACTTCATCACTCAATTCTTGCATATTTCTTCACGAAATATGCAAATCAGCTATTACTGAACATTTTTCTTCCTGAAGCTTGCACTTGGTCTTTCATATTTATACAACATGTAGCAGCAGCATTCTGTGTTTCAGCTATGTTTGTACTTTTATATTACACTGAGGAGCACTGGGAAAAAACACAAGGGACAGATGGACAAGAGCTTACACACACTGCAAGTTGTGAAGTTTCTGGTGAACCACTTACTCTTGAGCTTCTGGTGGTTCCGATCCTTGTTCGTATCTCACAGTTGTCATTTTGTTCTTAGTTCAGTTGGTCTTAATAAGAAAACATCTAAAACAACAAAATCAAGTTATTCCTCAAAGCATGTCAGAGAAAGACAATAAGTACCCCATAGGTGTACATTAAATGAGTGAGAAACTAGCCCTTATGATGGTTAAGTTTCTGAAGGTTTAAGGCTTCAGTGCACCAAGTACTTAAAATGCATTTAGTTTATGAAGTTCCACTGGTGAGAAATTAGATGATCTATATGCTAGTGAGTTACCAAATCAGCACTCTGGGAGTTGAAGTTCAATATATACAATCCAGTAGTTAAAGAGGCTCCTTTCATCCAGTTTATCCTAAATACTGCTTAGTTGTCCATTCTGTCTAGTAAGCAACAAAGCTAGAAAGTACAGAACAAAAAACACTGCCAATTTAAATGCACACTTGTCAAACAGCTCAGAAAAAACTAAAAACCTTGTTCCAAAGACACTATGTCCATTGTATAATCCATAAACCCAATTACAGCCATAGAACACAAAATAAATTCATAGCACAGCAAAAAAAATAAAAAAATAAAAAAAAAACAAAAAAACACAGCTGTACTCAAGTGTTCTCAGAAGCAATGTTTAAAAGACCATTAGTGATAAACTCAGTCCAGCTCCACTGAAATTAGCCACTGCTGTTACTTGAGGATCACTAGCACTGACTTGGCAAACCAAAAGCACAACAACTGTCAAATGAGAGTTGATGTACACAGTACAGCAAGCCTGGCACAAAGACTGGCTACCTTTCCTTTCTTAGAAAGGCTTCTCTGCAAGAGATTCTTTTCTAAAACTGGAAGACTCTCCTTCCTCCCACTTTTTTTTTTGGTGGTTGAGCAACTTGCTTTGCATTAAATTCCCATAAGAGGCTTCTCTCAAACAAGGTGCACAAGACCTTCATACAAGAGAGGATCAGAAGCTTGAGCAGCACCTGATGTTGGTCTCTACCTGCCTCCGCCTCCACTTAAACAGCAGAGTGTTGTTCCCACTCAACTCCTCCAGCTGCAACAAGAGTGCCTGTTCCCCAACAGCAGTGCAGAAGTACCAAGTTTGCTCTGGCAAAGAGAACAGCTTCTTGTCTAACCAGTGCATCAGCAGCAGTAAGCTGGACAACTTTGGCCCCACTTCCAAGCAGGGCTCTAGTTTGGACATACAGCTCCAGGAGGGATTCAAGGGGGGGTCCACAGCACAGAAGCTGGCATAGCCAGAGGGCTGGGCAGCCCATTTCTGGAGCTGTGATTCTTTGTGCCTACCCTCAGTTTCCGTGGGAGGAAGAGAGGCGATTAAGCCCCCCTCACTCAGCCAGGGGATTAGCAGAGGGCCAGGTAGCCCCTACCCAGAAGGAGCAGACCAGGAGTCTTGCCCCCTCTCCCGGGCTCTGCCCCAGCACAAGCCAGCAGAATCTGGAGGAAGTGATGCAGCAGGGCAGGCTAGGCCTATCCCCGCACAGCCACTCTCGGCGGGGCGCTAGCCCCGGGCCTAGCGGCGGGGGGGAGAAAGCTTGGGGCGCGGGGGCAGCCCCCCTTCCCCATCCTGCTCCAGCGCGGCGCCGCCGGGGGACCCCGCCCCGCTCCCGACCTCGCCCCTACCTGCCGCGGCGAGGGGTGGCCCTGGCCCAGTAGAGGAGCCTGCTGGCAGCCCCGGAATGGGGGCTGGCTAAGGCCCGACGCGCGCCCTCACCCTCTCGCTCTACTTTGCCGACTCAGCAGAGAGGGCTCCACTTCCTGAGCTCAGCTCCCCTCCCCTCTCCTCGGGCAGCCATCCTCCCACCCAGCCCTACTGCCCCGGGCAGCGAGCAAGAGACCGACCCCAGCCCCATTACCTCGGGCAGTAGACATACGAAACCAAGGACCAGCCATGCTGTGCCCGGCGCTGCGCTTAAAAGTAGCGGCCGCACCTGCCCCCGCAGGTGGCGCGGGGGCGGGGCGGGGCGGGGCGCTCGTACCCTCCCGGCCCGGCCCCGGGCGGTTCCGGAGTGGAACGCCGTCGCCATAGCAACGGGCCGCTCCCCCATGCACGATGGTTGCAGCTGCGAGGAGCGGCCCCCCGCACTGATGCAGGAGACACCTCTGCCCAGCTTCAGGCAGCCAGCTCCTGTCTTGTCTGCTGCAAGCGGGTCAGCTGAGACGCACCCACCCCGTAAGATGCCTCAGCGCCCGTGTGGATGTGCACTCGTGTCACTTGCTTCAGGCAAACACAGGATCTCTTTAGTGGGAGCCTCCTTTGGGGACGGCGCGCGCCTGAGGACGCTGAGCCTGGCCAGGACATTCTTTGCAGGCTCCTCTGGTAAGGGCCAAGGTTTGGCCTTCACCCCTCAGCCACTTCACCTGGAGGGTAATGGCTAAGGACTGGGGGGGTCCCTGTGGTCCAGCTGAAAGCAATGAGAAGGATCCTGTCAGGGAAGTTAAGTCCCTTTCCAGGAGCAGGTCCTAAGTTAGGCACCATGATGAATGCAAACCCCTCACCAAAGGTTTGGCACCACCTTCTAAAAATGCCAAAGGCTCAGCGATGCAGTGTTTTCATGTAAGGTGGATGCCTGTGTCCATCTGTACGAAAGACAACCGGGCCCATGTAGGCAGGGGTTCCTGTCCGGGCACAACACTGCAAGAAGTGCCAACCTGGCATCTCTCTTTCTTTCATGTGCCAAGATGCGCACACACTTTTCCTTTTATGGTTGCTGTCACCTTGATTCTAATTTGAAGGAGCTTGTTTTTTCTTAAGTCTCCCCTGCCTGCAAGGGACCTTCTGAGACTTGATATGGTTTCTCTACTGATTTTGCTCTTTTCCATTGGATAATGGCCACAGTCATTGTAGAGGTAGATTTGCACCCCTGCCATTTGTGCTTATGAAAATATCTTTATTATAAACAGGAGCTAAACTTTCTTTATTTCAGTTACAGGCATGGCATTTTTTAACAAACAGCTCTAACTTAGAACAGCTGTGCTGCTGCACAGCCAGTAGAGGGAGTTCAAACCCTGCCTTCTGGAAATCTTGTTCCTGAATTGCTCACAGCTTTCAGGTACTTTCGTTGATTGTAAATTTCCTAGTGGTTTAAGCAGCCGGATTCATTTTTTCCTTTCTCAAATGCAAAGCAAATCTCTGTCATGGCTATTCAGAATTGTGAGCCCTTTTATACGTCAAACTAAAGCAAATTGAAGGTAAATTCCCTTTTTCATCTACAGACTTTAGAGATATCCTCAGAAAAGCACTTTATTTAATTCCCCATTTACTTAGTCCAAAAAATTCCCTTCATATGCAAACATTGGCCCTGCATGATTGTTAGTATTTTACACTTGCTGAAAGCATTGAAGAGATGATATTTTGATTTCTTTTGGCTTGATGTATGAGAGTAGGCCCTGCAAGAGGAATGCATGAAAGCAGGAGGAAAGCCAACTGGTTCCAGGCTAAGTGGAATGCGCACATGGAATAAACAGTTGCTAAAGTCAGAAAGTAATAAGTAATAAGCTACACAAGTCAATAAAGATTAAGAAAATAAATAAAATTGATGTTGGTAGAATCTGAATAGTCTGGTGGCAGTAAGAACACATGCTGGAGCATTTGCATTGTTGTTGTTGTTTGTCTGTGTATTTTTTGGTCTTGGAAGTTGTACTTGTCATAGGGGAAATTTTTTTGGGTGTGGTGGAGGGGCCAGAGGTGGGCTAGTTGTTTCCTAAAGACATGACTGCTGTCCTTCTGGATGCATACTTTCCAGTTCACTAAGACATTACACGTGGAATATTTTCAAGATCAGATCCAGGAAATTTTGTAAATATGGTAAGTTGATCTTAACTTGTCTTATAGTCATAGGTAAGAAGCTCTTAATGTAGTTTTAATGTAAATGCTGACTTTTCAAAAGAATCATTGTATTCAATGCATTCAACTTTCAAGGGTGCAGGAATAGGCTGAGAATCCTCTGAACAGCCAGTAGGGCATGATTCATGGTATCTTACAGCCCTTTTACCTCCGTTTTGCAGGCGTAAAGTAAATTATAAGTGCAAACTAACTGATCTTTTTCCTACATAATACAGTTGAGCCTAGACTAAAACCTGAGATCAGAAATTTTTGTTGTTCAAAATTTGATCCCAAGCCTGACTTTTGTGTCTTGGGCTTTCTATACTTTCAGATATACAGCACTGTTGATGCTTGACCAGTATTGCCAATTCCTATTTGATTATGGGTCTCATGCTGTTTGGCATATCTTCATAAAGCTCCAGTTCCTTGGGTCAAATGATTCAGCTTAGAATGTCAACTTTCTTTTTATTATAAAATACCTTTGGGGTTGGACCCGATGATCAGTAAGGTCCTTTCTAGCCCCTAACAGGTATGAAACTTTATCACCCTTACATTTGTGAAGAAAAATTTGGAAATGTGACTCAAGTGTACTCCAGAAGGTCAAAAAGCTGAATGCAGAGAAAATGATCTACACTGGATTACTGTAGTTCTGTTTTGGCTTGTTTGTTTTCAACTTTGACTTAATTTCAATTTTTGAGGTCTCAGTAATGAGTTTTGGATGTTGACATTTAAAAGAACCTGAAATCTAATTTTAATCTAATAGCAGATTTTCACCACTGTAACTTAACAATGCTATTAGTAGAATGGTAGAATTGCTAATAATAAAAATATAGAAAAAGGCAGAAATATTCATTAAGTAGTCTGTTCTGTATTTGGAAGAAAACACCAGCATGACATATTTGTATTACTTCCCCTTCCACACAGTAACTCAGAGGAAGTTAAATAACAGTTATTAAAATAAGACCTCAGATGTGGGTAATTTGTACCAAGAGTTTAAAAGAGCTTGCCAAGGATTACTATGACCACTAACTTTATTAAAACTCACCATTGATAAATAATGTTGAATTTCAATAATTTTTTTAACACTGAGAATGTCTTAGAAAACTAGAAGAAAAGTACTCGTGTGTCAATATAATAAAGAGTTGAGCAGGGTGACCTAGATGATAAGCCCATCAGCTTGCCATTTTCCTGATGGAATGGTTGATATGGACTCAATTGATTAAAAATGACAAGAGAGTAATATAATGAATACCAATCAGAGTGGGATTATAGCAAATAGATCTTTCCAAACTAACCTGATATTTTTAAGAGGATAAATTTTATTGATAAAGTAAATAGTGTCAATTTAAAAGACTTTTTTGTAAGACGTATTTGACTTGCTGCCTGCAGCATATTAAGAAGTTAAAATGACACAAACTCAATAGGGAGCACATGACGTGGCTTAAAACCTGAATCAGAACACAGTCACGAATGGGAAATCGCTATTGAGCAGATGTGTTTCTAATAGGATTGCATAAGATTTGGTTCCTGCACCTGTGTGATTTTAAGATTTGTATCAATGACCTAGAAGACAGAAAATCATTACTAATAATGTTTGAAGCTCACAGAGTCTAGAGAAGTGGAAACGAATAAAGAAGAGAGACCACTGATACATAGCAATTTGCATTGTTTCATAAGATGGGCACAGACAAACCATCTATGTTTCATTATTGCCAAATGTAAAAATATGCATCCAGACTCCAGGAGAACACTCTTTCTGAGTCACCTACTTTCTAGCATAAAAACCTGGAGGTCATGGTAGATAATCAACTGACCATGAATTCTGAAGCATAACACGGTGGCCAAAGGGGACTAATGTGCTGCTTGGATGTGTAAACACGAAAGTCTGAAATAGGAACAGGGAGGTTATATTGACTCTGTGTCTGGCATTGATGGAACATTTCTTGGGATGCTGTATCCCTTTCTGTTGTCCAAGATTGAAGATGGATGTTGATAAATTAAAGGGAGTTCACAGAAGAGTTACACAACTGACAAAACCACTAGAAAACATGATTTATAATGAAAGCCTCCAGGAGCTCAATCTCTTTAGTTTATCATAGAGAAGATTAAGAAGGTGATTTGATCGCAACTAATACGTAGATATGACAAGAGAGGCCTCTTCAACGTACTAGATCAGTGTGTAACAAGATCCAGTGGGTAGAAGCCACAGCAAAATAAATTCAGAGCCCAAGTAAGGTATAATTATTTAACAGTGAGGTTTACAGAAGAAAGTTACCAGGTTCAGTATTTGCACATCTTTAAATTAGCAGTGGATTTTTTCCCCTAAAAGACGTGACCTGTTTCAACCAGGTATTCATTTGGGAAAGCCTGTGGCCTGTAATATGTGGGAGACCAGGTTAGATAATCATGGGGGTCCTTTATTACCTTATAACTTAAACTATTACTTCAGTGCTTTATAATGATTCAGGTAAAATAAGGTAAGGTCTATATTCCTTATCCTGAAAAGTTTGAAATCCAGTGAAATCTGGTATGACAACCTGTTAATTCTACATATGCTGCATATGCAGTAGTTTAAGTGTTAGACTGAATGATGTTTCCTAGTTGGAACATTAAATGTTTTCTTGTTGGATTGGTTGCATACTGCCTTAATATTTTAAATTAAACCCCTCTAATCTAGAGTCCTGAGGAGACTGTTCATTACCACACATTGTCCTGCATGTTAGGAGTCTGCTGATATTTTTTTCTGTCCAAGCAATTATACCCAGCTAAAAGCAGGAGGTGGAGAGCAGGAGAAAGATTTACTGCACATCAGTTGTGTTACTATCCACTGGAATGGTTTTTGTGTGTCTGCTCCATTCTGCAATAAGTGAAAAATAAAACAAAGTAATTCAACAGGTTGTTAATCCAGAAGTAAAGAGTCGCAATTTCTTCTTACTGAGCAGACAAACTATTGCTGAGGATTGTCTAACATGCAATAAGTCTCCCCTTCTCTTTTCACTTAGCATACTTGTTCCATCAGTCCACACCCTCTCTGACCCTGTAGCACTTGCAGAAATAACTTGCATTTTCCAGTGACAGTTGCTGTATAACAAGTACATCAGGAAATCGAGGGTGTCAGCTGGGGGCCTCAGCTGCCTATGCACCAGTGTCAGGAGCATGGGGAACAAGCAGGAGCTAGCCCTCCTGCTCTCTAGTGGGCAATATGACCTGGTAGGGATTGCGGGGACCTGGTGGGACTCCTCATATGACTGGAGCGTAGCCGTAGAGGGCTGCACCTTGCACAGAAGGAACCGAGCAGAGAGAAAAGGTGGAGGGGGTAGCTCTCTATGTGAGGGAGCAATACACCTCTCTGGAGGCTGGCATTGGGTCCAAAGATAAGCAGCTTGAAACCCTCTTGGTCAAGCTTTGGGGAGGGGGAGGGTGAAAGAGTCCTAACTGTGGGCATTTACTACTGCCTACCAAACCAAGGGGAGGACCTGGATCTGGAGTTCTCTCAAGAACTGACAGAGGCTGCGTGTGCAAGGGACTTGGTTGTCATGGGCGACTTATATTCTCATAAAGAAGAAAGGTAAGAAAGGTAGCAGAAGGGCTGGCAAGCCCTCCTGGCTCAGTAGGGACATCACAGTCCTCTTGAAAAAGAAAAAAGAGGTGTACACACAGTGGAAGCTAGGAGACAGACCTCAAGGAGGACTATACAACAGTGGTCCGCAGTGGCGACATATAGGGAGTGCGCTGCAAGGCCCCAATCTGCCTGCTGGATCACAGGAGTCTGTTGCTGCCAGCAAATGACAGGAGTTTTGCTTGTTAACAACTTGAGGTGCAGTTTCCCAGAAACCTGTGCACCTATATCCTTGAAACTTGGCAGGCTTCATGCCCTCAGAAGGGACTACCATCCCGGCAAGTTTCATCCAAATCAGGCATGAAATTACGAAGTTTTAGGCATTTTCATGATTCCTCATTATAGCCTATGGGTGAAACATTGAAACAGCGAAAGTTTCAACAAAATGAAACAGAACAGTGCTTTTGAAACGAAACAAAACACTGTTCCATAGAAGTGGAATGGTGCTGTTTCACACAGCCCTATTCCCCATGTACCCACAACTGTGCAGCGCTTTAGGCACCAATCTGGAGTGAAGATCAAACTTATGCCTCCAAATCCACAGCGAGGCATTGTAGCTCCTCTCCCATTACATTCTGTCTTGAGTCCTCCACAAAATTGACTTAAGAATCATAGAAAGTTAGGGTTGGAAAGGACCTCAGGAGGTCATCTAGTCCAACCCCCTGCTCAAGCAGGACCAACCCACACTAGATCATCCCAGCCAAGGTTTTGTCTAGCCAGGTCTTAGAAACCACCAAGGATAGAGATTCCACCACCTCTCTGGGTAACCTGTTCCAGTGTTTTACTACCCTCCTAGTGACAAAGTTTTTCCTGGTATCTAACCTAAACTTCCCTTGCTGCAACTTGAGACCATTGCTCCTGGTTCTGTCCTCTGTCACCACTGAGAACTGTCCAGTTCCATCCTCTTTAGAACTCCCCTTCAGATGGTTGAAGGCTGCTATCAAATCCCCCTCTCACTCGGCTTGCTTCGCTTCACTTCTCTAGAGTAAATAGTCCCAGCCTCTCCTCAGAAGTCATGTGCCCCAGCCCCCTAACCATTTTTGTTGCCCTCTGCTGGACTGTCTCTCCAGTTTGCCCACATCCCCTCTGTGGTGGGAGGCCCGTAACTGGATACAGTACTACAGATGTGGCCTCACCAGTGCTGAATAGAGGGAAATAATCACTTCCCTGGATCTACTGGCAACGCACCTACCAGTGCATCCCAGTATGCCATTAGCTTTCTTGGCAACAAGGGCACACTGTTGGCTCATAATCAGATTATTATCTACTGTAATCCCCAAGTCCTTCTCTGCAGAGCTGCTGCCCAGCGAGTCAGCTCCCAGCCTGTACCAGTACATGGGATTGTTCCATTCTAAGTGCAGGATTCTGTACTTGTCCTTACTGAACCTCATGAGATTTCTTTTGGTCCAATCCTCCAGTTCCCCAAGGTCACTCTGAATCTTAGCCCTACCCTCCAGCATATCTACTACTCCTCCCAGCTTGGTGTCATCTGCAAACTTGCTGAGGGAGCACTCTGTGCCATCTTCCAGGTCATTGATGAAGATATTAAACAAAACCAGGCCCAGGACTGATCTTGGGGCACTCCTCTTGATACCAGCTGCCAGGTAGACATTGAGCCATTGGCCACTACACTCTGAGCCTGAAGCTCCAGCCAGTTTTCTATCTTCTTTACAGTCCATTCATCCAGACTGTACTTCTTTCATTTGCCTGTAAGAACATTGTGGGAGACTGTATCAACAGCCTTGCTAAAATCAAGGTATATCATATATGCTGGTCTCCCCAAATCCACAGAGCCAGTCACAGAAGGCAGTCAGGTTGGTCAGGCATGATTTGCCCTTGGTGAATCCATGCTGACTGTTCCTAATCACCTTCTCCTCCAAGTGCTTAGACATGGATTCCTTGAGGACCTGCTCCATGATTTTTCCATTGACTGAGGTGGGGCTGACTAATCTGTAGTTCCCTGAATCCTCCCTTTTCCCTTTCTTAAATATGGGCTCTATATTTGCCCTTTCCCAGTCTTCTTGGACCTCTTCCAATCTCCATGATTTTTCAAAGATAATGGCCAGGGATTCTGCAATCACATCAGCCAACTCCCTCAACACCCTTCGATGCATTGCATCTGGCCCTATGGACTTGTACACATCCAGCTTTGCTAAATAGTCTCTAACTTGTTGTTTCACCACTGTTGGCTGCTCACCTCCTCCCCAAACTGCTGCCTGGGGCTGTAGTCTGGGAGCTGACCTTGCCTGTGAAGAGTGAGGTAAAAGAGGCATTGAGCACTTCAGCCTTTTCCTCATCACAAGGTTGCCTCCTCCATTCAGTAAGGGACCCACACTTTCCTTGATCTTCCTCTTGTTGATAACATATATGTAGAAACCTTTCTTGTTACCCATCACATCCCTTGTTAGCTGCAACTCCAACTGTGCTTTGGCCTATCTGACTTCATCCCTGCATGCCCGAGCAATACTCTTATACTCTTCCCTCATTATTTGTCCAACTTTCCATTTCTTTTTCGTGATTTAGCTTACTGAAGAATTTGTCCAAGTTTCAAAGCTTCTTTTTCATGATTTAGCTTACTGAAGAATTCCCTACTAAGCCAAGCTGGTCCTCTGCCATACTTGCTAGTCTCCCTGCACATTGGGATGGTTTGTTCCTACACTCTCAGTAAAGTTTTTGAAGTACAGCCAAGCCCCTGGACTCCTCTCCCTGCCAGACTGGCTTCCCAGGAGATCCTGCCCATGAGTTCCCTGAGTCAAAGTCTGCTTTTCTGAAGTCCAGTGTCCTTACTCTGCTACTCTCCTTTCTTCTTTTCCTCAGGATCCTGAACTCAATCATCTCCTAGTCACTGCTGCTCAAGTTGCCATCTACTATTATATTCCTCACCAATTCTTCCCTGTTTGTGACTGGCAGGTCAAGAAGAGCACAGCCCCTAGCTGTCTGCTCCAGTACTTACACCATTTAGGGGCGAACTTAACTGAATAACTGGAGTTCAAGAAAATCTGATTTATTAGCAACAATTAGTGTATTCTCTCCTTGTTACTTACACTCTTGCTCTCTTTATCTCTATTTTATACATAGAATTAAAACCTGTTCCAGTACTAATGTGTGTGCTCTGCAAAGGAGTATAGTGCTTTAACAAAAGTGTGTGTAATTTATGGAGACAACATTGTTATTAACTAATCATTATTAACTAGCAATTAGAGTTAGTTTATAGTACCACCTGATCCATTTACAGAGCTTTTCATCAATAGGCCTGAAGTACTTTACAAAATTAGTATAATTATTTCTGTTTTACAGATGTGGAAACTGCAGCACAGAAAGGTAAAATGACTTGTCCCTTGTCACCCAGCAGGCTAGTGGAAGAGCCAAGAATACAGCCAAGATCTTCTGGGTTCCAGTCCACTCCTGTGCTGTGAACAAGGCAAAAGGGAGCAACATGTAAAGCATGTGGATTAATTTTAAATTAGCTTTGTTGATTTATGTTACTTTGAATGGGACTGGCCCTGCGTTTATCTGAGTCTGCCTCCTACAAACTCCACCTACATTCACATACCTCCTTGGTATTTAGGGGGTTCTGCCCACACAGCTGATATTAGTGGATGATTGGGTTTTTCCATTAGGCAGTGACTTCTGGGTTTTTCCATTAGGCAGATCACTTAATGTCTCTTCACTTTGAAAAAATATCTAAAAACTTTTTCCAAAACCATTTAAACCTTATTACCACTCTTTTATTTTCCCATCTATTCATAAATTTGTTGAGAGGGTTTTGAATAAGCAAGACTGTTGTTCAGCCCCAAGGAGCTTTTTGCCAGGTGTAGAGCCTTATCAAGTAAGTTGTTGTTATTTATTGTTATTTGTGGACAGTCCTACTACTGACTGTTTCACGAAGTGGGGATCTGACCTACTTCCAAATAGCCAAGTGGAAATGAGTATTGTAGTTAGCGTGTCAGCTATGCATATTCCAGGAAAGGAAAGTTGTTTTCCAAATGTTCTATCAGGGGACTTCGACATCTGTGAAGAAGTATCATTGGTAATTACACAATGTTCATGGTTGGTTAGGGCAACTCGTTTATTTTTAACTCTTAGCCAAATAGAATAGTACACAGACACACCCTCCCACTACATCTGTTTCACATGATCTCCACATCCCTGATGTGGGGAAAAATGGAAAATAAGTTCACACGTGTTCAGAAATGACTTAACACATTACAACTAACACAGTTTTAACTATGATTTGTCGCCTTCTATAGACAGAACGGGTCATGTTTAGCTGGTCATGATTAACCTGAAACTCCATCCCATTGCAGAGTTAACAAGTTTTTAAGAGTGACATCTTCACAGTCTAGACAAACACCATGAGCTTTGGCATGAGGGCCTGGATATGTGAACAAGTTACCACGGGGTAAAATAGAGTGGGACTTCACCATGTGTCAGCTGCTCAACGTGCATGTTCTTCCCCCAAAGTAAATGAAAGTTAAACTCCTTAGTGAAAGAATGGTAAACTGAGCACCCACAAACTCCCATGGAAGTCAGTGAGGCTTGAGTGGGGAAGGAGGGAGGAGGTGCTCAGTACATAGCAGGTTAGCACCTGGAAAGAGGTGGAAAAGTTTAATTCCTTTATGTCATCTTTAAAAACTAGATACAAAGCTAGAGATAGCTCCCGCACTGCAAGAAATGGATATTGTTTTTGTGTGATGGTTGAGAAATGGGCCAAGAATTCTGATCTCAGAGGGGAGGAAAAGGAATGTTTATATGACTAATAAAATGGCATTTTGTACTTCTGTAACAGCAGAGCAGCCCTGTTTCCCTTGCTAATAACTCTGGGGTTAGGCTGGGATTAAAATACTTGTCTTTTAGCCTCATCTATCCTTCAAACAGCTGCCATGTAAAATGGAACACTCCTGCTATTGTCCTCAAAATAAAGTCTAATTCTTTGGCCAGGTTGCAGAGGGAGATGCTATTTTTTTTGCTCCATTTACCACAAAACTTGTTTTTGTTAACTAGAAAATCTCATTGTCCAGTTCTGATTTTAGTTACACAACCACAGGTCTTCTGAGGTTTCAATCAAACAGCATCTTGCTTAATACCCCTGTTTGCTTTTTACGAGTCAGATTCCCTGTCCTTGGCATTATGGTTTATTTTCTATATATATAGATGTAAATCAAATTCATGCTATCTTGAGAAATTTACTGAAATGGGGTATGGCTCTATTAAACTGCAAGTGGAACCCTCAAGGGGATTGGTGCCTTCAGTGATCTATTAAAATAAATCATTCCTGGTTTGAATTTCACAGTAAACTAAGATATGAAATGATATATAGCAAAAGAATCTCTCTGTTTTAAGAAATATTGTTGCTATAGATCTTATCTTAATCTCTTCGTTCTCAGAAGAAGTAGGATTAACAATGGAGAGAGAATGACAAGATTTTGGACAGCTGTTTCACGCAAGAGATTCCAAGGATATTTTTCATGTAACTGTCTACTTGTCTAGGGTGATAAAATGCTCTTCATGCATGCCTTTAATGTGAGCCATCTGGAAGGAATAACATAACCCTTGTCTATAAACGCCACCCAAGTATATTATCAGTTTCAGTTGACTTTTAAGGGAGACCATCCGATTAGAAGAGCTAAAGAGAAGACAAATAAAAGGTATGTGCATTTCAATGTATGTTGATGAGACATAGATAGATCAAGCTGGGTTTTTCATTTCCTCTACTGCTTGCTCTAATCCTCTGCAAAATGTTAGGAACGAGGGGTACAGATCTAACAGTGAGTCTAATTTTGGTCTCACTTTTCTTAGATCAAGCTAGGAGTAACTGCAGTGAAGCCAGTAGCACAAGATGCACAGCTGAGGGACTGTATAGTGGATAATCATAGGGACTGGGGAAGGTTGCTTGGTACAAGAACAGGTATTCTCAATGCTGAACTCTGCAGCACTATCTTCCTCTGTACAGCCTAAAAACTATCATGCACTTGTGCATAATACTGTGGAATTTCTTCCATAGGACATTTCTGCTTCCTAGTTTCCTTGGAACCTGGCTTGCTTGTGTACAATATTAGTTCTGCTAGCATCATAAATGGTATTAATATTAAGGTGATGCTCATAAAGAAGTATCTCAAGCAAATAAGCCACTTACAGCATAATTTCTGCAGTAGTTTCACATGTGAAATGGGTGGTTGTTTCTTATGCATGCCTTCTATATTATTTTTACAAAGCATTATTAAGCAAAACCTTGTGAATATTGTTGCTGGACACTCACATTCATTTCCATGTTCTCAACTCTCAGCTACTTAGCTTGATGTGCTAGCTGAGCAACCAGTGGGGGTACCCCCTTTAAAATTACTACTTGGAGGACATACAGTGAAATTATTTGGTAGTAGGGCTATGACAAACAAAAACAAGTTCTTTTTCGCACAGCACTCAATTAACTTGTGGAACTCATTGCCCCAAGTGAACCAGAAGGGCCCAGGAGATGTCATCTCAGGAGTTCATCCCACCAGGGCAGGGTTGGGTTTATGGCCTGACAAGGCAGCTTGCTGCTCTGCCTCTGAAGCAGTGTATCAGCTTCTTTCATTTTGTTCTATTTGTACTTTTAGGTAACTTCTTCAACCAGTCCCACTGTGCTTGTGGAGACCTTCAATGTGACTGGTTTTGGTGTGGTGCGTAGTCCAGCATATTCATAATTCCCTCCAGGCTATATAAAATGAGCATGGTGATGCCCTGGTTGCTGCTGCTGCTGCTTCTGCTTGTGAGCTTTGGTTTACCTGCACCTAGACTTTCAGTGAGTATCACTTGCTAAAATATGTATCATTTGTCTGTAAGATAATAAGCCTGTATCATTTCTAAAAGAATGCTGAGTGCTGTACAAATGCAAAAGGCATGGCCTCCACCCTGAGGAACTGGCTCTTCAGAAAGACATATCAGACAGAGGTGCATAGGATAGGAGGAAATGATAGCACAACATGCAGGGGGGTAAATGGTCACATCATGTTAATATTGGCTTTGACTACTATAATAGTTTAAGTTTCATTCTGGTTTGCTGGGTGGGAGGTTATTCAGTAAGATTTGTAGACTGTGCTGAGTACCACACCAATCAGTTTCTTGTGTGTATCACCACCAAAGTTGGTCTGAATGAGAGACTGGAAGCCTAAGGGGTAATAGCTTTGGGGACCAGATTCCCAAATGGGTGTTATAGGACCCAGTCATGAGAGATGGGGGAGACCGGCAGCTCCCATTTAGTGATTCATCTTCACATGCTCCTCAGAGTACTGAACATTGACCTTCCATAGAAATACCCAGAGAGGAAGTGTGCTCATACGTGCCTGCCTGAGCCCCACACTTTCTTGGGACCTTGAGCAAATCATTCCACCTTTTGGTGCTCCTGTTTCCCTGTCAGTAAAATGGGGATAGTAATTTCTCCTACCTCAGAGAAGCTATTTGGAAACACTTTGAGATGAAAGGTGTTTTGAATTGAAAGTGCTATGGGATACCACAGCACTCTGCTTTCAATTTATATTTAAAAATTGCTCTTTGGGTATTCTGTTATCAAAAATCATGCAAGGTGCTGAGTTCCTTTAACTCTCACTGACTTCACTTCTGTCTCAGTGAAGACAGGTACATGCTTTTGTTTTGATTAAACCTTCTCACTTACTTTGTTGTTTTATAAAAATCTTTTTCCCTTAGCATATTACGTGTATTTTCGTATACAAGCTTTTCTTGCACTAGCTTTAGAGCCAGATAGGACTGAGTTAGGAACAAGGTAAGGCTGGTGGCACCTTACAGACTGACTAGTTCAGAGATGCATGAGCTTTTGTAGGCAGCAACCTATTTCATCAGATGCTATAAATGGTCATTCGTGATATCTGACAAAGTAGGTTGTTGGCTATGAAAGTTCATGCCTTTCTGAGCCAGTTAGTCTCTAAGGCACCATCCTGCCCTGCTTTCTTCCTGACATTACACCTTTGTGGTTGAATAGTATCTTATTACACAAAGAACCCTTATAATAGGGCTGAGAGAGAGGCTGAAGGGGGTGGAAAGCACACTGTCCAAATTCGCTGACGATACCAAGCTGTGGGGCGAGGTGGCCATGCTGGAGGGGAGGGACAGAATCCAGCTAGATCTAGACAAATTACAGAGGTGGGCAGATGAGAAAGGATGGAATTCAACACAGACAAGTGCAGGGTGCTGCATCTAGGGAGAAGAAACCAGCAACTCACCTACAGGCTGGAGAACACCCTTCTTGTCAACTTGGTGGCAGAAAAGGATCTTGGAGTCATTGTTGACTCCAGGATGTACATGAGCTGCCAATGCACGGAAACAGTCAGTAAGGCTAACCGTGAATCTACAGATGCATCACAAGCAGGTCCTGGGAGGTGATCCTTCCTCTCTATGTGGCATTGGTCAGGCCACAGTTGGAGTACTGCGTCCAGTTCTGGGTGCCGCACTTCAAGAGGGATGTGGCTACCATTGAGAGGGTCCAGAGGAGGGCCACTCGCATGGTCAAGGGGCAGCAGGTCAAGCCCTACAAAGAGAGGCTGAAGGGCCTGAATCTATTCAGCCTCCACGAGAGAAAGCTGAGAGGGGATCTGGTGGCCATTTACAAACACACCAGGGGGGACCGGCAAAAATTGGGCACCACCAGGGGTTACTAGAAATAACAGCTGCAAATTGTCAGAGAGAAGGTTCAGGCTGGATATCAGGAGACATTACTTTACAGTTAGGGCTGCCAGGCTCTGGAATGGACTCCCAAGGGAGGTGGTGCTCTCTCTTACCTTGGAGGTCTTCAAGAAGAGGCTGGACAGATATTTGGCTGGGGGGATATGACCCTGCACTCATTCCTGCCTGGGGCAGAGGGGTCGGACCCGATCATCTGTTTAGGTCCCTTCCAATCCTAAGCACTATGAAACTATAATAAGGCTTCTGAAATAAAGTACAAGTTGGTATGAGTGAGACTTGTCAGAATTTCACCTCACAGGAATGATCCTGGAAGGTGGTGAGAGAAATAATTTCCAGCACCTTCCAGGATGTCTCAGAAGCACCAGGAGGAAAGGTTAGGGCCTGGTTCTCACTTGAGCAGGGGCAAGAAATGTGTTTTGGCAAATCTGACAAATTATTTTATAATGATAATATGATGACAGTATCTGAATGTTTAACACACTGTATCTATCTCTCTCAGGCCATCTGGTCCATAATGAAAATATTTGCTCTAATTCAGTGGTTTTCAAACTAAGATACACGTCCCCACAGGGTGGGTGTTTGCTAAGGGGAATGTGCCTAAATTTTAATAATAGCAGTACAGCTTCCAGTTGGTCAGTACATTGAGGGGTAATGGCACTGTTATGCATTGATGTCTGGGCTGGGGCCTGATCCCACTTCTGTGCCGCAGCTGCACTGAGCTGCACCCACTTGGCAGCCAAAGGAACTTGGCGTTGGGCCCCGGCCCGGTCTGGAAGTCTCCATATTCCAGGGGCACGTGGGAGGTGCTCCTGCTGCTGGGCACAGCCCAGTGAAAGCCCTGGGGTCCCGTGTTCCCCTCCCACCTGTGCTCAGCATGACGTGGGTAGTGCTGTGGGCTGCTCGCTGCACCCTGAGCACAGGTGAGGGTGGAGCATGGGCTCCCAGGGCCTCCACCGGGCTGCACCCAGTGGCGGGAGCTTCTCCCACCCACACACCCCTGGACAACCAGATCTTCCCAGACTTGGCTGGGCCGGAGCTGCCCCCACGTGAGTCCCTGCTGCTGAGCTGAGCTGCACCTGCACATGGCCAGCTGAAGTGGGACTCGAGGCGCAGCGGCAGCATCCTCTGCCACCTCCGCCCCTGCAGAGATGGGGAGGGAGTCCCCTGTGACCCTGAAGGAGCCCACCTGGCCTCCAATCCTCCCACCACTCAGCCAGGCTGGGGCCCCACTTACCTTCTCCTGCTCCTGGCTGGGCTGCATGGTCAGCCACTCACTTCGGGGGGGGCCTTGATCTGGCCCCCGCCCCTTCCCTCCCCACAGATTGACAAGCTGGGGCTAGGGGTGGTGGGTGTGCACATGCACGCATGCCCAGCTATCCCTCCAGCCCAGGATTTACCAAAAGAAGCTCCAGGATCTACTTGTAGATTGGGATCCCTGGTTTGGTGACCACTGTCCTAAAGAATGAACATGCAGAGATGAATCAGGTGTCAGGCATACAAGCAGCAGTATTTTGCAGGTAAAGGGGTACACAGCCAAAAAAACCTAGAAAAAACTGTTCTAATCCATCCTTAGTAATAGAAGGGCTACTTGCAGATGTAAAAAAACCCCAAACAAATGGTGCTTTACTTTAAACTCTGCGCATTTCAGCACCAAGCCCAACACATGCCCAGAAGAGGCAGTGCATTAGTTGGACCTGGCTCACCCAATGTCTGTATAGATCAAGCACTTTAGTGGGGCTTTCTTGACTCAACTGTGGATAAAAGTGCCAAAAAGTCCTGCTGAAGCAGATGCCTGATCTATAGTGATCTATATAGACACTGTGGAGCTGGGTTGAAGTAATGTGCTGCTTCTTCCAGTAAAGCACTTTTATTTTTAACGTCTGCAAACAGCCCATATGTTGGAATCTAAGGTGGTAGTTGGAACAGGAACAAATATGGTTGAGAATACTGTAAAAATACTCTTGGGAATACTAAATAGCAATGCTGGTCAGAGAAGAGACAAAAAATCAACAAGAAAAACTGCCTCAAAAGGAAGGAGAAAAAAGAGCTGCTGGTGTGCAGGTAGAGTCTATATAATGTGTAATAAACACATGTGAGCCATCTTAACAATATAGTTTGCTGTGGACATTTACTCAAGGCTTCCTTCCAGGTCTGCAAGTGGGTCTTAAATGTTTATAACCAGCTTTCAGTAAATACAAGAAAGGCTGATTAAGGCTAGCACTGAACATGATTCCACCTGCATTGCCTATTTATCACTGTGGGATTGTGATTCCTGATTACTTGGCAAACTACCATTTTCACTGGAATCCAAGATAAGGGTCCCCCCAACACACTTAATATGGAGGGGAAGCCCATTGTCTTCGATTCAAGTATGAGGCAGCCAGGAGGCAGGTGGCTGTTGTGATTGCAGTTGCAGCAGTGGCTGCACCTCCAGCCCAGATCTGAGGTTGAGGCTGGAGCCACAGCTGCTACTCACCCACTATTGTCTCTCCCTGACCCCAGTTGTGTCTTCCTCGCTCCTGCCCCCACCCTGCCACGTCTGCTACCCTCCCCCCCACCACTTACCCTCGCGCTCCAGCAGGGTTCCACACATCTGTAGCCCAGGATATGGAGCATATGGTTGCTCTGGCCCCAGCCCAACCCAGTAGGAGCTGTTGCAGTGGTAGCAGCCCTGACTGGGCCCTGAATCCTGGACCAGAATTGCCCCAGCCGCCACTGCTACCAGACTGGGCTGGGGGCAAAGCAACTATGTGCTCTCTGCCCTGAGCTAAAGCAGTACCAGAGCCCTGCTGGAGCTGGAAATCAAGCAGCAGGGCAGGGGGCAGAGGCTGTGCAGAGGGGGCAGACACCGGGGGGAGGACAGGTGCCGGAGACTATAGGCATGGGGGAGGAGAAGTAATGGGAAGGGGGGCGGGGGGCAGGCAGCAAGGACAAGTTGTGGGGGAGCAAGGGGCAGGGTCAAGCTACTTGACACTCCCCCACCACCTACTCCCCTTCTGCCCCTCTGCCACTGCTTTTCTCACTGCAGCAGTGGGGAGAAGGTATGAATTCAAGATGACCCACCAATAATTAGATTATCATTTTCCATGCGTAGAATCTAATTATTGTGGGGGGTCGCATGAATACGGTAGTAACTGCTACAGGCAATCCCCTGTCCCTTGTCCTAAACCAGCAACACACTGCCCCTGTCCCTGTCCTAGACCAGTGGTGCCCAGTGGCCAGATGAGTAGTTAGTGGTCATGGGCTAGACGGGCTGGTTCACAGGCCCAATCCAAAGCTGTCATCCATCCTGTGGGGCTCCCCAGGGCTCCAGGAATTTGGTGGTAGGGGAACAGCAGCAGTGTTAATTGCTATGGATCCCAGAGCCAGACAATTAGCACTGCTGTCATTCGTCCTGTCACCAAATTTTGAGACCCATGGGGAGTTCCATGAGCCAGATGACACAGCATTGTAGGCCAGATCTGACTTACAGACTTACTTTGGTCAGCACTTGTCTCTCTTTGAATGATACCTCGTCAGTGGACAGCACTGTCACAATATATACCACAAGGGAAACGAAAGCATCTCACAAAAGCTGCCCCCTGCCTTTGACCTTTTTGTACAGTAAATGCTTTTGTTCATGAAACAGTCAGTATTACCTCACAAAATGGTATGGAACAACGTCCTGCCTTTTACCAGAGGCCAAGTCCATCAAGGGAAGCACATTGCTCTGTTTACTGTCTTCTGTCCCATGGGACTAAGATGTGCAAGCCTGGGACTCTCCAAAGAGACAGTGGGCCTGGAGCAGCGCCAGTCCTGCTCTCACTGTGGGCCATAGGCTCCTCCAGTGGCAGAGGTGAGACTTGACATAAAAACCCAGGAAATGCCCTGTTGGCTCAGGCCCCGGGTCCTGTCTTGGACAGGGGCCTGTATTGGATGCTTCAGAGAGAAGGTCTAAGATGCAGATGCTGAAGTATCTGCTTTCCCTGGCCCATCCTACTCTCCAATGTGTAGACTGGCAAAAGGACTGAAGCATGAGGTCTAATATCCTATTCAAAATATTAGCATTAACTGTTATAGTCCTTGATACTTAGAGCCATAATAGGGCAGCTTTTAGTATATGGAGCAGTGCTGGCTGCTGTGCTGCTAGAACAGGGGTGGGCAAAATACAGGCCACGAGCCGGATCCAGCCCACCAAAAAATTGTATTCAGCCTGCAGCTGCCCTGGCTTTCAGTACCCCTCACCCTTCTCCCTTCCCTGTGCCATAGGCAGCTGCAGCAACAGTTCCAGCTCTAGTGTAGTGGCCAGGCACCCACACCCTGGCCCAGCCCGTCCTGGCCCCCACCCCCAGCCAGGCTGTCTGCACACAGCTCTGACCCTATGGCCATTCACAGACCAGACAGGCCAGCCCCAGCAAGCGTCAAAGCTCAGGTAAGATTCTCCCCACTGGTGTGGGAGGCAGTGCAGGGAAAAGAGGGCCAGGAGCTGTGGGTTATCCAGGCCCAACTGGGCAGTGGCCTGGTAGGGGCATGGGCACTGCTAAAGTAGTGCCGCGCTATGTTCCTGCGTGCCACTTTATGCTGCACCACGTGGGCATAGCTGGAGTGGCCCCTGCTTCACCCCAAGTCCCTGGCATGAGACTGGGTCAGACAAGAGCCATGCCAGCTGCTCCAGCTTGGCCACATGCTGGGGACTTGGGGGAGGACATGCAGGGAGAAGAGGGGAACACAGCACAGCACTGACCTGGCCAGGCCCAGAAAACCCATGGCTCCTGGTCCCCTTCTTCCTGCACCCTCTCCCCCATCCCAAGTCCCTGACATGCAGCCAGGCTGGGTCAGGCTGTACCACACTCTGTTCCCACACACTGCGTCAGGCCACACTGGTGCAGCTGGAGGAGCTGGTGTAGTTCCTGTCCCACCTGGACATGTGCTGGGGATTTGGGACATGAGAAGGAGTACAGGGAGATCTGTGGCAAGCTCTGTGTGTGTGTGTGTGTGCGCGCGCGCACGCACACGCACAGGCACACGTGTGTGTGTGGCCCTCAACACCTCACCAAAACTCATCAAGTGGCCCTCCAGACCAAATAATTGCCCACCCCTGTGCTAATAGCCACAGTGTGGTCATGGTGACAGCTATTTTTGTGCCCTCCCCCCACAACAAAGGCAGCACCTAGGGCTGCTGCCCCGGTTACCCTCTCCCTGCCGCCTTGCTCTCCCCTTATGCCTCTGTCAATACTCCTATGCCAGATCTCACTGAGCTCTTTCTGTGGCAAAGAGTTCCAGTCTCATTACAGGTTGCACAAAAACAGTATTGGATTTTATCAGCTCTGTGTTGGTCACCTTTCAATGCTATTGAAGGTCCCCTTATTTGTGTTTGGGAGACAGAGAGAACAGACGTCCCTGATCGTATCTTTTCTAAAGCTGTTCACAGATTCACAGAGGTTTAGGGCTGGAAGGGACCTCGTGAGATCAGTGGGTCCAGTCTCCCTGCTCTGGGCAGGAAAGACTGGTGGGGTCATTCATTTACATACTTTGGGGTAGGGATTAGAATTAGAAAGTAGATTAGAAACTTGGAGGGTATTGATATCACTGGAGGCTTAACTCCTGTGGTTACATACGACCCATGCAGTGCCCTTGTTAGGTTCTCAACAGTGCCTCAGTCCTGTGGAAGAAAACAGATTAGTTCCCAACAGCAGTGTTAGTAGGTGGTAGCTGTGATGGCATTTCCATGGTGGGAGCATGGGTGATGTTTTTTAACTTGCCTAGATCAATGTATGGTTTAGAGTGAAATACAGACTTGATATAGCTTTGCGGGGTGGTGGAGGAGAATTAATCTCTATTTAACTTGCAATGTTTGGAGTCATTCAAGCCCACTACTCAAAGGTAACCTCAGGCCAGCAAAAGCCATGTAATAAGAATCTCCCAGAACTTTTTTGGCAGAGATTTTTTAGCATGTAGCTGTGCCAGCCTAAAATGTGATTCTTATGGAAAATGTTCATTCTAGTGAATCTAGATTGGATTCTGCTCTTGATTAGGACAGTGTAAATCAGGAGCAACTCCACTGATTCCAATAGTTTCTCCAGATTTACATAGGGTGCATGTCCTTTTATCTTTCACTTCTACTGGAACATCAATCGTCCAATTTGGCAGCAATGTAAAAGCCAGATTGTATCACTCATACTCATCCTGAACAATACTTTGATTTATGAAGAAGTCTATTGCTTTAATAACCCACCTCGAGGTCCTAAGTTTGAACCCCCTTGCTTTATCAAAACAATGATATGAGCTTGGATGTTGAAAGCTACAAACTCTCTATTGCTTTAAGTATATTAAGCCTCAGTTTTTCCTTTAGGACAAGGACATCTGCCTCTTAGACAACAATAACTTAAAACAGAAATTAAAATTGTTCCAAGGCTTGCTTCACTTATATGAACTACAGCTGAAGGACCTCTTGGAGAACAACTATCACAGAACAAAGAGCAAGGTCTTTTCAGTCAGCAGGAGCAGGCAGCCTGTGGTACTTCTACCTCCAACTAGTGGAAATCTTATAGTCTACGATCAAGGTACGTGTTTGCAGTAGAATAAAGTAGAACCTCCCCCCCTTTCAGAATATCAAAATATGTATTGGTTGTTGAATATCCAGTATATAACAGAAACACAATTCTGTATTCTATCTTGTTCCCTTAGTAAAATGAATGCAGGAGGTTTTCTATCTTGGTCAGGTTACTAAAATGGTCAGGTTACTATATGTACCATGTGTTAGCTACATGTGAAGGTGAAGAGTAGACCCACAGTCCAAGGACACTGACCTGATATCACTTTGTTTTCTCTCCTGACTTTGCCTGTCTTGCTTATTTAGATTGTAATCTCTTTTGAAGCATTCATTGTCTCTCTCTCTGTGTTTGTACAGTACCTAGCACAATGGACAACAGCCCGTGTTTGGGCTGTGTAATAAAATGTCATATGTCATGGTACTGTCCTTTGCAAATGTCATTGCTTCAAGCTTGGGCTGAGGTTTATGATTTAAAATCCCGATTTAGGCACTTGAAGAAGTAGCCTCTGATTTTCAAAACTGCTGAGTCTCCTGCAGTACCTGCTAAAACCACTGAAAACTGGTGGGTGCTCAGCAGTTTTGAAAACAGCCCATCCAAGAGCCTGTACCAGGATTAAGGAACCTAACTTTGAGCTCTTTTTTATTTTTTAAATACGTGCCAAATTGATTAGTCCATCCCTGATTCTTGTCTAGATTATCCCCTATCTGGAAATGAACTGGACTGGAACTATATTGGGATTCCCTGTAAATTTCTCTGGCATCTTTCATGTGGTAAAAGGAAGGTAAAAGCTTGGGGTTTCCCAGCACCCTCTCCCTCCCCATCTTGCAGAGTGAACTGAGAGTTCAGCTTTCAAAGTATCTGGTCCACTGCCAATAATTTCTAATAGTTTTACCCACAAAGGGCTCTTGTACATGTGATGGGGGTTTAATCCCCAAAGTTTTATTCTGTGTCCCCTAAATTGAAACAGTGGGGCATAGAATAAAAGCCTGAGGACTAAACCATTTCAATTTTTTCATCACGTTGTAGCAAGGGGTCCAATTCTTTATTTTTTCTTTTTGTCTGAGCCAGAGCCTGCCTGTGGCTGGGGGTGAGCTGCTGGCAGGCCAAGCAGCTCCTGAGCTGCGGAGCAGGGGGGGCAGTCCTTCCCTCTGTGGCAGTGGTACCCACCTGGAGCCACCTGGACAGGTTGCTAGCAGGCCATGTGCTATCCCAGCTCAGAGGCAGCACCCAGCTCAATTGACTTCTTCCCCAACCCTGAGCTGGGGCAGCATCCAGCCTGCTAGCAGCCTACCCATGTGGCCCCAGGGGGCACCACCACCTTGGAGGGCAGGACTGAGGCCCCCCACAGCAGTTCAAGGGCTTCTTGGCCTGTCAGCAACTCGCCCCTGGCTGCAGGAGAGGCAGGCAGGCTCCGCTGGAAGAAAAAAAAAGGATCGGGCCCCTCGCCACTTTTGAAGTGGTGAGGGGCCTGATCCTTTTTTTCTGTGGAGCCTGCCTGCCTCTCCCATGGCTGGGTGTGAGCTGACAGCTGCATCATTGTAATCTGCAAAGCTACAAACTAAACTTAATCCCTAAAACTCCAGCATGTGTACACTGTGACACCATTAAGCCACACTGACATTTTTGTCATGCGTACATGTTAATGGCATCATGTATACAAGCGCCCAAGGAAGCTACGTATTTGCATGCAACCTCTTCCACCAATGGTTCTTTAAGTGCCTCCTACCATATTTTGGAGGCAACTGTCCTGTTCCCACAAAGGAAGTTATCAGAGCTGAGAACAGGGGAAGAATCTAAATTAATGTTGCCTTCAGCATAGGTGACATGTAAGACAACATAGCTAAAGACTCCTGAGTACATACTACACTAATATCTCTGCTGTTTTAATGTAGATACCACCTGACCACCCAAGCAATGTTAAAAACTGTTACCGCCAGGACTACACTTTAGCACTCTTTTACAGGCTCAGTGTCTAACCAAGAGTGGGTGGGTTCATGTGTAGGAGGCAGAAATCATTGTCCCTTGACAATCTCCTTTTCAAGCTTTCTCTTGACTGCAGCACCCCATTTACTCTTCCCCAGTCATTATTTTATTAATCACTGTTGTCCTGCTTAGATTGCTCTGCAGTGTTTAATAGTAAAAAAACAGAAAATGGATATTACCGGATAAGGCCCAACCCAGAGCAAGAACCTTTCCTGGTTTATTGTGACATGTCTGATGGAGGTGGCTGGACTGTGATACAGCGACGCAGTAATGGCAGAGAGAATTTCAACAGGTATGGGGGTTAAGTTAATATCCCAGTTGGGATTTATGTGGGTATTCAGAGGCCACTGTGACTTCTATAGTCTATTCAGCCTGTGACTTCTATAGTCTATTCAGTCTATTATCTTACAGTCACAATCGCTACCATTTTAAGTTCCAGTCCTGCACACTCATGCTCATATAAGCAAATCTTAGTGATAGAACTTGTTTGTCAGGACAAGTTGTGTGAATAGGTGTTAGTAGGATCAGCCCCTGTAGTGATTTCTTTCAATCACAAGAATTAATTAGAAAGGAGTTGTGACATCTTTTCATTGGGTTGTCCTTATGTGTTGAAATTTCTTTGATTATTGTAATAGGAAGCACTGGAAGATTCAGAACCATCAAATATCTCCTAGCAGTGCATAGGCTGAGACCCATTAAATAGTGTTCTTTCTCATAACACAAATGGTATTTGGGCATAACCTACTGCTTACTTCTCTTTCCCATCATTAATCAAAATACTTAAAAAAAATAGTCCATACAGTCCCTTTTCTAGCTGAAAGCCATAGGAAGGTAGTTAGGACTATCCTCACAAAAATGTATGCATCATTTTCAGAGTATGTAGGCATACCCTGAAGTGTCTGCAGTGCAGCATAAAGATACCAGAGACAGTTTTTGATTACAAGTTTAGGTACCAGTAGCATGTTTTCATCCTTTAGCCTGTGTTCAATTCTTTAGGACATTCTGTAATAGCAGCCATGTCTGTCAGGTGCTTAAGATTTGTTAAGTCACGTTCTTATTTTTAACATTTTGAAGTATACTGTCAGAAGTTTTACAAAAAGACCAATATGGGGTCCACTGTGTTCCTCTTGTCCACTCATTTCTGATATTATCTTGGAAACACTGAATCTGGCAGCTTTTGCAGGACTGAGGCCAGAGTGAGTATTCATGCCTGTAACATGTAAAGCTGTTGACTGTGGTCTGTATTTATGGATATTTCTTGCTATAAATGTGTCTCAACTCCATGCTCTAAATAGGACAGCATGGGAAAAATTTGTCTAGAGTAGTGGTGTTCAACCTTCTGGCCCCACAAGTCCAATGAGTGGCCCAGGGCCTGTCTGCACACTGGGTTGGGCCCTGGGGACCTGGCAGTTCCCCCTTCCCACCCCATGCATGCTGGGATTGAGTCCCAGTGGCATGTCACTGCCCTCTCCTACTCCCTGCTCATGGGGATTGGGCCCTGGGGCCTGACACCATCCCCACCCAGCCCTGCACACTGGGATCTAGCACTGGACTTAGGGCTCCCCATGGGTCCAGAGACTTGGCAGCAGGGGAATGTTGCTACTACTCTCCCGCTGCCAAATTTCTGGACCCATGGGGAGACCTGTGGGCCAGATGACCTGGCATTGCAGGCTGGATCTGGCCCACGGGCTGGAGATTGAGCATCCCTGGTCTAGAAATAAAAACTAAGATTTATTTTTTGAGAGATTTTGCAGTAACAAGATGATAGAGTTTGTCAGCTATGAACTCCCATCTTTTAAGTCCAGAAATTGCTATTTTACTTTGCTGCAGGAAGTGGGCTGATTACAAACTAGGATTTGGACGATTTCAAAGCAAGAATGATGAATACTGGCTAGGCAATGATCGCATCCATGACTTGTTGGTTAGAGGTATGAGCAGTTTTTCCAGCTGCATACTTCCTTAAAAGTTACATTGCAGAGTTCATTGTGGACTTGACATGTAACAAACTACTGCTTTATATTCTAGAGGAAAACATGTTAAAAATTGACCTGATGGACTGGCATGGAGAGAAACGATATGCTATCTATGAAAACTTCCAGATCAAGAATGAGCAGGTGAGAATACAAAAAACAGGGATTTGTTTTAGGACTTTTCCTAACAGGGACTTTTAGGGCATTTCCCCGATTCCTGCTGCAGCCTGACTAATCCAAGTTATAATTAGAGCTCTACCAAATTCATCATTATTGGTTCACAGGGATTTAAGTTGAGTTGAGGTGGGACCAAATTACAAAGATCCTAGATCTAAGCTTTTGAAAAGCTTAGTTGCAATTAAACCCAGTTTTGGTTTGTCCCATTACAGAAGGTCTAGCAATGATACTTGACTGAAGCCAAATATTTCAAAAGCTTTGAGATGTCTGTAGGGGGAAGGTGGGATAACTGATTGAAAAATTCTTTCCATGTGAACCTTTCTTAATATTCCTTTTCATGCAAGTTTACATCCCCTAAGTTTTGTCCAGTTTCAGGTATGAATAAGGCCAAAAACTCAAAACCAAATGTACGCAAATCTGGTTCAACTTAAAATAGGAAACAGTTGTTTTAAAACGTGATTCACCTTTGTTGGAAACCCACTATGCTCGAGATTCAGCCACATTCTCCAGCCAACATCATTGGAACTTCTGGGGAACCTATAGCTAGATCCAGTAAAGTATTTAAGCAGAATTGAAACACCAGAATCCAAAAGCACAATCCTTAAAACTCCTCTCAGCTGTTATGAAGTTCTGGGTGTGCCTATGCTCACGTGGGGCCTCCTTATAAAAGTTCTCTAGGTGCATAGTTTTCTGCCTGTGAACAGAGTCTGGGCAGCTTAGCACCTTTCTCCTTCCTAAACCAGTTTGGAAGCCACACTTAGCAGAGGGATGCCTCAAGTCTCCTGAAGGCTCTGATGTGTAAGTGTTCTCAGAACATGCCTAAAACACACAGACAGTTTGTGTTCCTTACAAAGTGTAGTTGTAGCTGCTTACCTTGAAAACAAAGAGGGAGAATTGTTGTAGACATCTAATCTCAGGGGAGACCTCTGATTTCCAAGTAGATGGAGAAGCCTTACTCAAGTCTGTGGGCAGGTACAGAGAGGGGTAAGATTTCAGAATCAGCCTTTTACTTAGGGTTTCCTATTGGTTACCCATAGCCCATGTTTCTTGGAGCACCATTCTAAGGAGCATAACTCCCCTATGCATTGTATATAAAATCTGAATACCTAGTACAGGGTTCTGGATTCCACACAGGTGCTTGGTCACATAATCATTAAACCTTGTAGTTCCTAATTTGTATGAACCCAAGTCCTTTATTGGATCTAACCCTTGATCCCTACTCAAGTTTTGTTATGGAAGTTTTACACAGCTCTGTTTTAATTACCTACTGCCATTTTTCTTGGATAGAACCAAATGTTATGACAGAAAAAATACTTAGAATTTTACAAACGATCAGACTCCTCCAAATCTTGGTAGAAGTATACAATAGAGCCTCACTCCTAAATATTCTCACCAGGTCAGCCAATTTAGGCTGAATATTAGGTTTCTAACCATCAGAGCAGCGTGGATCTAGATCAGCCTCCCAGTAGCTGTTTAAAGATGGAACTTAGTCAGGCCCTGATAGTGACCTGATTTCCAGTAGTAGTAGGGGACTGGACTTGGGGGTCTCAGGAAGCCCCTTACAGACCTGTGTTGTTTTTGTATTGTGTAAGTGTTGAAAGTGAACACTACATAGAATCATAGAAATTTAGGGCTGGAAGGGACCTCAGGAGGTCATCTAGTCCAATGCCCTGCTCAAAGCAGGACCATCCCCAACTAGATCATCCCACGCAAAGCTTTGTCTAGCTGGGTCTTAAAAACCTCCAAGGATGGAGAGTCCACCACCTCTCTGGGTAACTTGTTCCAGTGTTTTATTACCCTCTAGTGAGAAAATTCTTCCTAATATCTAACCTAAACTTTCTTTGCTGCAATTTGAGACCATTGCTCCTTGTTCTGTCATCTGCCACCGAGAACAGTTTAGCTCCATCCTCTTTTGAACCCCACCTTCAGGTAGTTGAAGGCTGATATTAAATCCCCTCTGTCTTCTCTAGACTAAATAAACCCAGTTCCCTCAGCCTCTTCTCATAAGTCACGTAGCCCTTAGTTGTCCCAGTGTTAGCTGGCACTACCCTTTGACAAATTAAATGTGGTCATTGTCTAAGGCTAGTATCACTGAAGGCAAAAGGCCAGAATCATGCTTGATGTCAGTGGAGATACTCCAGGAATGACCCTGACCTGCACTACATTGCAGAAAACAATTATGGGCATTTTTAAAGGTTGTGAGAGGGGAAGGCTAATAACAGAGACATGTTTACATTTTATTTTGAAAGGACAATTACAGGCTGTGGTTTGGCACCTATTCTGGTAATGCTGGTGACGCCCTGTCTGGTGGGAGCAACTTTAGAGAACAGTGGTCTGCATCACACAGTGGGATGCAGTTTACCACATCAGACAAGGATCATGATAGATTCTTAACAGGCAACTGTGCAAAGGAGAACAACTGCGGTTGGTGGTTTAACAGGTATGGAAATAAGTTTGATTTTTGTCTAACACTCAGTGGTACATGTGGAACGAAGTATGACTGGGCTGCTTTAAATTTACCTGCTTTAAACTTTAAGTGCTTCAAGGTATGTTGTCTATATGTACATTCTACCAACTCTCAGCTGAGCTTGAGTGCGTGAGGCACAAGTATTCCTGCAGTGGAATGGGTACATGTGCAACTCGTTGAAGGAGAACAGCATCCTTTTTTCAGTAGGATTCCAGAAACAGAGGTCACTATAGTTTCAGCAGTGACTCCCAGAAAGCAAGCATAAAGGGAAATACCCTGTGCACCAAGGGTTGTCATTCTGAACTCAAGGTGCTTTGGACTGGATCCAAAGAAGGGGCTATGCACTAACCACAACTGTTAGATGGAGATCATGGTAAGGACGTTGTTCTACTGTGGAGTGACCAGTTTTTGAACAGCTCACCGCTATATTTCGAGTTACATTCATTGGCAATGATTAATAACAGTTAAGTATGGCTGGCCTGCCTCTGTTCATGGAATACATACTGAACGCAATGGGTTTTTTGTCCTGCCTGTGAAACATTTGACAAATCAGGGCCTTCATTTTATATTAAAACTTTAAAGGCCAGACCCTCAGCAGGTGTAAATTAATGCAACTCCATTGAAATCAGTGAAATTACATATATGTAATGTGATGGCCTCAATTTATACCAAATAGGAACTGTACTTTAATACAAAGATGCAATGACTTTCATCTTAACTTTAGTCTCTCTTTTTTCCCCCCACATCTTTAATTCATGTAAGATGCCATGCAGCAAATCTCAATGGACAATATTATAAGGGAGGAAACTACACTGGACAGCAGGATAACGGAGTGGTTTGGTCATCCTGGCATGGGTTCTGGTACTCATTGAAATATGCGGTCATGAAAGTTAGGCTTCCATCTTTTGTCAACATAGCGAGTGGAAGTGGTGAGAACAGTTAGGACAGTGAGAACCTGCATCTTTGGAGAGCGCATAGAGGGGAAAAGATTTTAAAGATTAAGGACCAGCCCACCAACTGCTGTAAATGAACAAACCTGCACTCTAGAAAGTAAAGCTTCATCCGTTTCTACCAGCTGAGGATCAAGGCACAAGTTCTTACAGCACATCAGTTGTTTGATCTTCTGGAGAACATAAGGCTCTCTTTCATTCATGGTAAAACCAATGGAAATGCTTCAAGTTTCTTTTCCAGAGAACTCTGAGGCTTTGGTGGAGAGTGCTTAACCAACACCTTACAGGATACACTCTGCACCTTGCAGGACCAAAACTTTCTCACCTTGATTTCAGTGGTCAAGTGAGATGAGCAGTTTGAGAACCTAGAAACAGAACAGGGTGGCAGAGATCTGCAATTCAAAGCTGTCAGCTATAGGGAGGGTCCAAATTCAGATTATTTCTTAAGTGCTTTTTACAATGCTTAAAAGGAAGGCAAATATTCTTAGGATTTTTTAAAATTCAATTACACTGTGTTCATAAATTCTCATGCAGTGTGGTAGACAATTTTATACTCCAGAAAGTGAAAATGATTTGAAACACAAGCCAGAGTGTTCACTTCCACTTCCTTATCCAAATAAGAGTGAAACAAAAAGAATGAGCAGCAGAAATAAATGACCATAAGAAATATAAGGCTGAAAATTACTTCTCACCAATAATTAAGTTGTCAGTAACAAAAGTCAGGAATGAAAAATAATTCGGGCTTGACGCAAATGATTTCCCTGCCATGTAGCACAAGTCTATATTTTGTATTATTATAAATATGATCTTTTAAACTAGTTGTTCTTTTCAGTTTATTTTACATTTAGATCAATACATGTCATAATTTGTATTAAACATCCATAAAATATGAATTAAAATAATCTGAATGGAACATTATATTGCATCTGTCCTTAAACAATACTGAGATGGAGAAAGATCTGGATGGAAAGTCAGGAGTTCCTAAGGGAGGTGATGCTCCAAGACATTTAACTCACATTCTTGTCTCTGGTTCTAGTGATCTTTTTCAGGGTCCATAAGACTAGCTTAATTGTTTTGAATTGAGCAGCATTAGAACAACTGTAGAGACTTACAGAGGTTCAGTATAAAATCTGTTATGTTCAGCCTCCTGGTGGCTTATCTAATGTTTTATCATAACTCCCACACCGGACATATAAGGACTCTTACACCTGTTTAGAAAAGGCCTAAATGACATCCTGTTTGAGATGAGGGCCAAAGTTGCCTCAGTCAGCAGTGTGTTCACAAGTGTGGCTTAGGTCAGGAGGCTGCATCATAGCGTGAATGCACCGAAAGCCTTGACTCCAAGCATATCAAATACTCGTGTGAAAGGAGAATCACAAATGGTGCCAATATTTACTCTTGTGACTAAAGGGGTCGGAGTGGAGTTGAGCACTAGCGCTGTTCCTTTCTCTGTTCCAGTAGTTCTCAATCTTTGTAGACTCAAAGTCCCCTCGATAGACTTGAGGCATCACCCAGAAAATGCCAGCTCTTCGTTTTCACTCTATTTTTTATTATAGAAAAAGAGTAGTTTTTCTGTTGCAAAGCACTCAAAAAGGCCACAACAGTGGATTTGTTTGAAATCTCTTGGTTTATCTGATGAATTGTGTTTGCAAAACACCCTGAGGCACTCTTGAAAAGATCTCAAGACACCCTGAAGTGCCGTGGTACTCTGGTTGAGAATTACTGCTCTATTCATCTTGTACTTCTCTGGAATAAGTCTTAGTGTGGGTTCCTAGGTACCTAGAGCATTGTGGTAAATCAGAGGTTATCAAAACTGGTGCTAGCTTATGAGTCCCTATCAACCTTAGTTTTAACATACAGTACAACTGGGCTGCCCTTGGCAGTATCCAGTAGCAATGAGGCAATTTCTATCAATGCAGAAAGCAGGAACTAGGTCAAGTGCAATATTTGCTTGCCAGCAGTCTACTCAGGAAGGTGCTAGCACTTCTAATGAATACTACTGCTCTAACCAGCTGCTGGAGACATTTCTCAGAACAGGATTACAGAAGGATAGTTATGTACAGCAGGATGCTGAAATTAATGTCAGTGCCAAAAAGCCAGCGCTATGCTTGCACAGATGATCACTGAGCAGCTGAAAGTGCTAAATACAGGTAAAATCCAGTCAATAAAACATTGTAAAACATACGACTGACTTAGAACAAGATCCTACACAGCCAAAAGAGATTTCAGCCCCCCCCCCCCCGAATAGTATTCCCACTTCTACCTATCATTCATTTTTATCAGAGACAAAGCTAGAGGGATCTTGGGAGGTTTTCCAGCACTTTGTCTAGGGATTGTAATGTCTAAGACAAGTGAATAAGAAACATTTTGCTTGTTACACAGGGCCAAGAGTCCTGCTGACCTAGTACATATTTGATCCAAGTTAGGAAGCTGTGCTCATATATACACTCTTGCTGCAGTCCATCAGCATGCCTTTCCCAGTAGGACTCAGGTAGTACAGGTCCCTGCTTTGGAAGCCTCGCTTGGCCAGTTGCAGATTAAAATAGTCCTTGGAGCTCTGCAGTTCTAAATTAGACAGATCGCTCCTCTGAAGCGACAACAGACTGCACACGATCTGATTTACTTTGACATACAGTTGGGAAATAACCTCAGTAATAGTCTCAAGGCTTGATCTCAAGCCCACTAAAGTCAGTGGAAAGACTTGATAATTTGGATGTGTTCTGGACTGGTCCTCCAGCATGAATGTGTTATGAGACACTTTGCATAATAATCACTGTAGTCTTCCATTTTCAGGATGTTATTTAATACAAGCCTAGTCTTCACACAATGGTACACTTGTGAAAATCCAATTCTGGAATGGCCTGAACTTTTACAATGCTGCATATTGGAACAGGCCTTGAGAAAGAGATGACTCCTATCGTAGTGCAAGCTATACGTGTCCTAATGGCAGGTGGGAAGATGTTGCACATTCCAGATGAAGTCTGTGCAAAATGAAGCATTTAATCACATTGAATCAAATCCCGAGATCATTGCTCTGTTTGTGCTATTGCAATGAGCCATAGCAAGATGTGCAAGAGCTGATGATCAGTGTTCACCCAGAGCATATCAGCATGGTACCTACCCTAAGCAGGTGTGCCTTATTATTATGCTGTCATTTTCTTAATAAAAACTGGGTATATTTGTAAAATGAAAAATAGTTCCTTGTGAAAGGATCAGAAAGAGTAGGATGGATATAACAGTGTAAAAGCTATGGGTGCCTATAAATGTTCAGGGGTGGTGAGGGACCACTGTAATTACAGGGGTATCCCAAGAGTAGCACTAATTAAAATGGCTCACTGTCACGTGTATTAAGCCCTCCATTTTTTAAAATGACCACAGGGCGCATTAACTAAAGCTCATTTGACGAGCTTTAGTTAAAGCACTGCTGTGGCCATTTTAAAACATGGGGGGAGGGGGACTTAATACATGTGATGATGTGTCAATGCTGAAGCGTTCTAATTAGAATGTGGAGCAGACTCAATTAATCGATTCTGTTCTGATTAGTTCTAATTATAACGTGAACCACCACATCTATAGGCAGCCTACGACTCTAATCCTGCAATTTATGAAGTATGGGCAACAGGGAAGTCACCATGTACCTGTGCATTGTGGGATGTGGGAGCAGGGCCTTGATTCTGAATACTGAGCAATTCCAAATGTGGGACTGGGGCTTAAAAGTGACCAGGGGAGAACATAGCCCTGAACTGTGAAGCTTGACCCTTTGTGGGAAGGGGCGTTTCAAGCCATCAGTTCCCTCAGCCTCTCTCTTCTCCACACTCTCATTCTTCACTTCCCATCTCAGGTTTCTTTTATTTTCTTTGTTTTTCCCACGAAAACCCATTTAACTCATTTTCTCTATGCCTCTGAAGAGGCTTTTGGGATGCTTATGGCATGAGTATGCATCCCAAATCACACTGACCCACCAGCCACTCTTTGTGTCTCCATTTTTTTCTCTAATTTTGCTGAATAAGCTCTGAATATGAGTAGCAGTGGCCACTCCCACTGGTATAATAGCTTACTTGGAAATTATATCATTTATTGAGAAATAAAAAAAAATCCATTAAGCTACTCAGTGACAGGTTCTCCAGAATCAACAGATCTGGGCATGTTCACTCACTTTTCACTTGTTTGCAAACACATAATGATGAAATGAGTGTTTCATTTGGCTGGTTTTGCTCATTAATTATTTTTGCCTTACTGTACTATTTATGTCAATATATTTAAGCAAAAAAATGAAAATAGAAGGAAAATGTCAAAGGCAAAGATGGTTAAGATAAAAGGTGGAAAGTAACAGGTCCCTTTTTTCAGGAACACGAATACTGCAACTTTTTTGAAGATACTCAGAGTTGTTACTCAGTGAAGTTTCTTTAACCACATTTAAGTCCCTATTCAATTCATTTTCCACAAACATTTGTGCAATCCTGAACTTGCTTAGCACCCGTGCTGGCAGCAAATTCAAAATCCTGTATGTGATGAATTACAACCCCCCCCTCACCCCAAATGCTTGTATGAATGTAACCCATGCTCATTCCAGAAGAGTCTGTGCTCTCATCTTGTCCATGAAAGGAACAGCATCATGTGACTTCTTTGATCAATTGCAACCAATCAGTGCCATCCTGCAGTGAATGTTAAAGACATGTGAAAAGCTGTTGGCAGCCAAGATAAAAAATGGTGAAATGTGTTAATTCACATTGAACAATGGATGTTTAAGGAAATCACAGTCTGCTGGTGTTGGTCCATCAGCAGAATCAGCAGGTAAACTGTTTGGCGTCAATGGAAATTATTTATGGAGCCCCAGTGCTTTACATGATGAAATCTGCCATATCATTTCTATGTCAAGGTTTGATTTCCATCTGTTTGCCCATGGAATGCAGGTTTTAGATGCATGCATGAAAGCACTTCCCTGTAATTAAGATGGAATATGCTCTCACAAGTCAGTCCTTAGGACTTCCCTCTGCCTCCAAAAGAAGGAACCTGGTTTCCATTCTTGCTTTCATAATAAACCAACAGGTTTTGCAGGTCTTTTCTTGCACACACCCTTTGACAGTGTTGCAACAAGTCATTCAGACCACTAGTTTCTCAATACTTAATGTACTCGTCTCATCTTCTTCATTTGAACCAAAATAGCCAGGCAGGTCTATCATCCACTGCTCTGATTCAGTTAAGCCAAAAGTGGAATTGTCATAAAAGGCAAAGTTGGGGTCCAGTGGGAAACTCTGGCACTTGTCCTTCCTGTACTGAGCAGGGCTAATTGCAGTGCTTCTTTGCTTATCTTGGAGAGCTGAAATAGTTTCTTTCTTCCAAGATCCTCTGTGATTTGGTGAGGGGCCTCTCCTACTTCTGCTCAGTTCTGGTCTGCCTGGTCCTTTCTCCTGACCTACAAGCTGACGGTCACTGATCAGATCCAGCTTCCTCATTGGAGGGCCTCCTTTGTGCTGATGTTTTGTGCCACAGCTCTGTGGTTCACACATTAACACAGTGGTAGGTGACAGATCAAGCCTTTCTGAAGTTGTATTGGCACCTCTAGATTTAGGCCGGATCCTGTCTCCCAGGCCCTCATCCCATGTTCTGGTCCTGGAACTGTAGAGGGGAGCCTGCCGTGGGGTTAGGGTGGACATGCTCCTTTCCCTGAAGGGCCTGGCCTTTTTAGTCTCATGGAAGCTGGCTGTTCTTCTAAACTGAGTGTTCCTGTGACAGCCTCTGTCCAGCTGCTCCCCTCTGCTGTCCTGGAGTTTCAGGTGAGCTTGCCTTATCATAGTCTGAGTTGGGCTCATAGCAGGGTTGCTTTGTGAGAGCATAAAATCCATCCTCGAATTAGACCTGTCCCCTGGAAATCTGGGTTGAGTGACCCGCTTGTCCAGGAATGGAGATTTGATCCTAAATTTGTTTGCAGCAGCCTCCTCTTGGTTTTCTGGGCCCAAGGGTAGCACTGCAGTGGCATCAACAACTGTGTCAGTCAGAGGAGCCTGAGATACGTGATACACCTTTGTGGTTTCAGTCAGGCCTTTCTTTTTCATCTCCTTCAGCTGCTGCTGTGCAAGGCGGTAGCTGAAAATTGGAGGGATTATTTTCTGAGCATTCGCCTGAATATTCTCACTGCCAGAGGTGTTATCGTCTTGAGCAAACTGCAGGCTCCTCCTGCAGGTCAGAGGGATGTTCACAGGTGCCTCGCCTCCCTCAGAAAAGCTTTCCCGCTGCTTGCTCCCTTGGCAGATGTTCTCCTCGTCAGAGTTCTTCCGGCAGCTGGGCGAGTGGATGGGATTACGCTGCACGGAGGCACTGCACTTCTGAGCCCTGCACAGCTTCCTCCACAGTGTGATGAGCACAGTAGCAAAGATTATAAACAAGCACAAGGAGATGCCCGTAATGGTGACTATATTATTAGCTTTCTGGTCCTCTCCCATCTGGATGGATGGTGGTGTTGGAGGCTTTATAGCTGTAACATAGAGGGACACATCATGTAACCAAACTGGCTTTTTCATTGGATGTTTGGAGTCTTAAGCAAGTGCTTTAAAATTAAGGAAAGAAAAATACAGAATTATAATTCATGTTTATAATTCATGGGCTAATTTTTCTGATGTAGTATGCATTAAATGAGTTTAGTTTAGCTCACTATTCTCACCTTCAGATAAAAAGTGATAAGTCCTGGTTTGCAGAAGATCTACCTACTTAATCCTGAAGACCTTTCAAACAGCACTTGTTACCCACCTTTCCTAGCCTTGCTGCCCTTCATGATGATGATGTCACTGGGATATTTTAAATGCCTGACAATAAAGGGCAAGGTTGGAGTATCTCCAATCCTGTAGGAAACATTTTGCAAGACTTTGAAGGCACACAGGGGCAGCGTGATCCACAGATCAGGGAGTCAGGCTCTGCCACTGGCCTGCTGGATGGCATATGGCAAGTCCCTTCATCTCCCTGTGCCTTGGTTCCCCCAACTGTCAAATGAGGATAATAATACTTGTGCTCCTCTGTCAACCAAATAGGGAGCTACTGATGATAAGGTCCATAAAGGATCTAAGAATGTACTGATATATGAGGTTGGCCTCATGATTCAGTTAGGTTGATTTTAGTGTTTACTCCAAGTACATGTCTGACAGCCCTTGGGGATGACAAGACAGTGTAAGTGATGGCAGCACAATTTCCCATCAGTGGTCTGAGACATTTTCCAATTCTTCCCCCAGTTTGAGCGTCACACTGATT